AGAAATACCAGGCTTTATTTTTGCAAGTACCTTGGCAGTATACGCCAGAGAAAATAAGACAAAGCAAGCTATGCAAAGTACATTCAGCAATTCTTTCTGAGCCCAAGCATCATCCTTGGTGCCCTCAGGCGGCCCACCTACCAGATCATAAACAGATCTATGAACCAAGTGCAGAGGCTGTGAGAGTCTGGCAAACATGAATTTGTGCCATTGGGGAAAAAGCACATTTTTCTTCACTCAGAGATAACACACAGACCTTCGAAGCCTCACTTCTCTGGGTTGGAAGCTCCCTCAGTTTGTGTTAATTTTAAGGAAGTTTAACTCTTTCCTCTGATGAAGGATTTTGCTCTGTGTTTGAATGAGGCATTTAAAATCTCACCTTTTTAAAAAAATTAAAAATCCCTCAGTCCGATTGGCACAGATTGAAAGCCTTGCATAATTGTCTTGTTTTGGACTCAAATATTATTGAGCAAGTGCTTGGAAGGCCAAAGAAAATGTTCCTTAGTAGGATGATTGGTGTATTTTACTTATTTATAGCACACGTTTCTTTCTTGAAGAGGTGTGTAGGTTATGAAATGCAATAATATGCCTGGTATTCAGGTATATTTTGCCTGCGTTCAATTTAATCTGATTTTTGGGTGGCTCAGTACTGTAACTCCCATTTGAAGTCAATGGGTCTCAGCATGTCTTAGGCTTAGACCTCAAGTGTTGCATTTATAAAACCTTTCTTTAAGATGGGGCCTCAAAGTGTTTCTTTTAGGGATGTAAATATCATTGAAAAAGTTAACCGGTTAATCAGTTAACCAATTAAAGAGAGAGGGGCAGGGGCTGCTCCAGCTGGTGTTGTTCCATCTGGCCCAGGGCTGGGGCTGGCCGGCAGGGGTCAGCCGGTCGGCGCGGCTGGAGTCTGCCAGCTGGCCCGGGGCTGCTCCGCCCATCAAGGTTGGGGTCGGCTGGTCGGCACGGCTGGGGTTCGCTGGCCTGGGGTCGAGGGTTAAGTTAGGGTGGGTTAACCCGTAAGACTAATGCTTAATATTTAATATTTTACAACTTTCATTTTGTGACCACTGCAGCATGATGGGTGCATCCTTACAGACCATACAGTTTTTTTTAGATTACTGGGTAAATTGCAGCAGTCACAGCTTTTCAGCAAGAAGCCTCTCTGACCTAGGCATTGACAGTGAGACAGATATATATGGGCTAATTGCAATGATTCTCCATTGCAGAAAATTGCTGTACTGAGTCATAGCTGAGATTTTACAATGCTATCAACGGTGAAATTTTATGGCGATCTTGCTATGAGTTACTGTAGCAACCAAAATGATAGCAAAAGCAGATGCCAAGTAAACTAAAATACCTAAGAGGGTTCAGCAAAGATGGGTAAAGCTGTTCTTTTATTGTGAACACTGTAGTAACTGTTACCCATTTTGTCCATACAACTTCATTTTGTATGTCACCTTTCTGACATAATGCACGAGAAAACAGCTTTCTAAGGTCACATACAATGAGATGGTTGAGCAAAACAAAACAACCCCTTCCCCCACAGAAATAAACTTAAACTGACCAAAAAGATACTTTCTTCAATGGGGATTTGAAGAGGGGTGAAAGCAGTGAGGCTAAGAGGTAGTTCACTCCAAATGACAGGAACCACAGCAAAGACTCTCTCACCAATACTAAGGAGAAGACAGTTGCTCCTTCACCCGAGCGGTTAGCCAATATTAGCCTTGCTGGGCTGTTCCCGTTAGGAAGAGAAACTGATGATGTGAATCAGGTATTTCTTCAGTGCAATCCTGTTTACTTAAAAAGAATGTACACAAAGTCCTGTTTCCCTGAACACTGAATGAACAAACAACAGCAGGCAGTTTCCTTGCTCATGATTTCCAAGGCTGCCTTTGCAGACAGTCCTGTGCCAGACATGCCAAACCTGTGGAAAAAACACAGAAATTGGGCTTGTTTTTGGCTTAATCGGCTTGTGAGTTGCTTGTTGGCTAGATTTTGGCTTGTAGCTTGTTGCAGTTTGTTGCCCCCCCCCCTTTTTTTTTAATTGGCTCCTGGCAAGCAGGGACAAGGGGCAAACTGGGGGAGAAAGGGGGGGGGGTTAGGGGTGCACAGTGGGCCCACCACAGTCCCAGACTGCACACCGGGGGGATCTAGTCACAGAGTGTTGGGGTT